TCCCCAAGATGACCGCTTGATTGCACTGCAAACCAATTCGGCCACAAAGTTTGGCAGTCTCGCTTCTCGATTTGAGTAGTGTACAGTGGTAGACTTGACAAGCTTTTAACGGCTAACAAGTTATAACAAACCGCTCCACCCTAGTACTTAAGCAGGGACTCTGGAGAGAAACACAAGGGCGAATCTCAGTGAGACGAGGAGGAGATCAATACATACACCAGCTCACTTTCATGACACACAACATGACACTTCAGAAAGGCCAAATCTCTGTGAGACAAGGAGGAGGTCAATACATACACCACAGATGACAAATTGCGCATTTCGCAGTTTGCGAGCCTGGTGAGTAGCCTCCACTAGTGGGCTAAAGGAATATCAGGTCCTCTTATGACTGGCATCCACCAGGACAGCACAACAGGTTGACACCGATGCCACACAAAAGGCTTGCTTTCTATCAACAGAAGACAGACGGACAGAGAGGTGGCACTCGAGAAATACAAAATGCGAGAGAGATCTGGCAGATTCAATCCAGCAGAATTCAGGTACTACTGGAAGAATATGCTTACGTGATGACAAGCCCAGATATAGTGGTATCACATGCGCAACCAAGAAGACCACAAACATGTGACCACTGTCCTTTCATCAGTCTACAGGACTGTTTAAACTACCCATACGAGCTCCCATCCTTCCACACTTCCGACGGTATACCAGGAGGACGCGCTCTCCATGCACCAGCCTGGCAGGACCGTTCGATTCCATTGGGTGCCAAAAATATAGGTTCGGCAATTTAGGGTCCGCCAGACTGGCACTTCGACCACAAAAAAAAACGTGATGCATCAGCCCTTCTTCAACATCACTTTGCCTAGGGAATATACAACTGAGAGAACCTACGATTCCCCACCACAATCTACCTATCGTTGTAGAAATGAGCATCCGTGTTTGTGCCAATGTGTGCATGCCACGCGGACAAAATCTATCATGTCAGCCGAGCTGCAGAGCGTAAATGGCAACCATCACCCAATGGCAGGGGTTATACTTCTTCACAGAACATCTTGTTAGCATTCAACTTAAAGACTCTTAAACAGCAGCGGATAGCACTTCCGGGGAAGTCGGTATGTGATATCAGTACCCAGGCATGTGAGGCTAAAAATAAATAACAACAAAAGATGACAAGGACAGAGGGCCTAGCTCAGTCGGTACGCCCATGAACTGTTGAAATACAGACTCTAGTTCGAATCCAGGTACAATCAGATGACCAGAATAATATCATTCTGAATTACCTGGGCCCGGTCAGTTCTATACTGATATCCCAAGGCCGCAGGCCTTTTTAAACTGCTGGTACACAAGAAAACGAGTTTGAAACATCAAGCGCTGGGCCTGCCATTGATAAATTGGATCAGCGGTCACTTTTTCGTTTCACGCTTCCAGGTAGCCGTGTACAGATGCTTTAAACCACTAGTACCTTTGCCGTGTGGGAAAATAGCGGCCCTCGGGTGGGCCTCCTACCTTTTCGGAGGCTGAAACGAAACGACGGCCACCGATCAGATTTATCAATGGCAGCCGTCCTCGGGCCCAGCCTACTATTTTCCCAACACTGGTGGAGGTACTAGTGGTTTAAGAGAGAGAGAAAAAAAAAAGGGGACAGGGACAGAGGGCACTAGCACCTCAGGGGAAGTCAGTATGTAGTATGATTTACCTTTGCCCAGGCATGCGAGGCTAAAAATAAATCACAACAAAAGATAACAGGACAGAGGGCAAAAGCACATTCTAGGATTATGCACTTTTACCATTCCCATGCAAATTTGAGCAGGATTTTTGCCCAGGCATGTGCAGGTGAAAACACGAAAGAACAAAAGATGACAGCGAGGAATAGGATTTTTTGCCCAGCCATGTGAGACTAAAAATAATAAAATGAAAGAACAAAAGATGACAGGGACGGGGGGCAAAAGCACACTCAAGGATCATGCACTTTAACCACTTTCCCTGCAACTTCAGGATCGTTGCCCATTGTACCCCATACATCTTCCCCTCGCACAGACAAAGAGAAGATGGGACAAAACCCTGCCAACAGGATTATTAAGATAGTTCTAACTGGAAATGCCAAAGGGAACATGCAAGGCGCGTCATCGTTTTTGATGACGCGTGCCCTTGCACATGGCTACACTTGAACATGAGCCCTGCGTCCTTTCCCTCGCACAGACAAAGAGAAGATGGGACAAAACCCTGCAAACAGGATTATTAGGGTAGTTCTCACTCGAAATGCCGATGGGAACATGCAAATTGCGCCATCGTTTTTGATGACGCGTGCCCTTGCACATGGCTACCCTTGAACACGAGCCCTGCGCCCTTTCCCTCGCACGGACAAAGAGAAGATGGGACAAAACCCTGCAAACAGGATTATTAGGATAGTTCTCACTCGAAATGCCGCTGGGAACATCCAAATTGCGTCATCGTTTTTGACAACGTGTGCCCTTGCACATGGCTACCCTTGAACATGAGCCATGCCTCAAAGCAGCTCCTCGGAGTTGGCGAAAGCTCCCAAAGGTTCCAAGCCACCACTTCACTTAGCCCCGACAGTACTGCTCAGCTCCGTTAAACTGAGCAGAGCCTTCGATCTCACTGTCGGTAGAGTGGATGCAAGTTGGAAAAGTTACCACGGCTTTCCTGGCGTCATTCCCATGCAACACGAGATTAAAAAAATAGTCCTAACAAATTCACCGTGGATATGGCAGTTCGATTCGACAAAAGTCAGGAAGGACCACCATAGATTCAGGACCGCCGCCAGCCATGGCTATTTCCCATTACCTGCCTGAATCAGAAAGACCCTCGGAAGGACTTGACGGATGGGGAGGACCGGAAAGAGCCAGGGGGCAGGGAGGGCGATTGAGGGGACGCATGCTGAAGAGTATGCAGGGGGCCCACAGAGGATGGTGGTGACTTCATTATCAAAAACGAAAAACCCGCTCCTCAGGCCGACAACGCCATGTTTCGTACACAGTACACACTAGAAAGAGCGAAACGTCATATTTTCAATCCAGTCGATCACACGGAACTCGCCAAGAGACCTCACCTCACAATTTACCGCAACTCGACTCCATAGTCGTCTGATGACAGACACCAATGAAACCACTACTCTTGATTTTTCAACGCGTATCGGGTTTCCTGCTTACTCAGCTGGGCTGCATATAATAGGACGACCAACCGAAAAGATTGAGGACATCTTACACACGATATGACCGTAGATAGTTTTGAACTCCACAGGCATTTGCAGCACATTCTGACCTAATCAAATAGAAAATGACAGCCATAACTTTCCAGAAATGCTATAATACCTGCCAAACTATTAAGACTAGGGTATCCTATGAATGCTCCACTGGGTGCAAACACAGAGCAAAAGAGAGGCCGGCATCTGCTGAGAGCCAAACCACCCAATATCATTGACCGTAACTGAGGAACGACACTAACATAAGCAGAAGAAAGTGCATTGAACAACACCATACCAAGAGAAAAGAAAATGAACCGGACGGCGGACTCCATAATACAGCACGTAACGATGAACAAAATCACAAGAAGTGAATATATGACAGTAGAGCTCAGCAAACGATAAAAGTCGACTACTCAATGTGCGTTCTCTCTCTCTCTCTCTCTCTCTCTCTCTCTCTCTCTCCCCCTCAACTTTACCCCCCTGCCCACCCCACTTCAACTGGTATGTGTGCACTGTTTGTCCGAAGAAGGGGCCGTCAATGCTACATTTGCACTAACCTAATATGAATGTGCCAGTTTTTTTGGCGACAATCATGCTTCGTATCAACAGTTCACACTGCCCATTGGGCCCCATTCTTTCCAGAGGCTTAAAGCCACTTGAAGCGTCTTTCTAATTTCTGTTTTTTCTCCCAGGTCTGCAGCATTTTGCTTGGAAAAGACGTCCTTTCCACCAAAACAAAAACTGGTCATGCCCCAGAAAGGGATGATGCCAGTTTAATTGTCTCACCACATCCCATTGCACGTTTCACATCTCAAGAACCCCAATAGCAACTTACACACGTTTCTTCCAATTCCCCTTCCATCGTCCCCACAAGAACTTACAATACAAACCATCTCATAAACACAAACCATCTCATCATAGCCCATCAGTTGAAGATGGTTTATCACGCAAGCAAGAGTATATGCAGATATTACTAAGCAGGAGAAAGCCAAAAAATATACCATCACAGTGTTTCATGCATTCAGCTCGTAGCTTCCCTGCATATCTGATGACACATAGCTCAGCGACTACTCACCAAGCACTAGTGTGTCGCTCGTGAACAGCAAATAAGCCTTCACTTTCCATTTGCTGCCATGAACCACAGCATGTTTCCGCAACCCCTGACCGCATTCCTTCCTCTTCCACACTCAACTACTCGCCCTGCAGAGTGCCACTCCGTTCCACGCTCCACTACTCTTCATGCAGAACGCCCCTGTCCAAGTTCCTTAATCTGCCCATCCAAAACACAATATCATTCACATGATGCAAGTCTTTTATCAATGTCCATGCCCCGCAACACCCAAGGTCGCACAATCGGAAATGCGCAGACACCCAAACTAGCATGTACATCTCCCAGCTATTTTTTCCAACACAGTGGACGACCCACTGCCTCGAAGCACCAGTACATGGCCCCAGCCAAGTTGAGAGTCCGATGGAGCCTCTCCTGAAATTTTGAAGGCTTGCGCACCATCAACAGATAAAGCAATGGCGGGCAGCCTCCGAGAGGGGCCAGAGGCCGATGGCTGGCATGTACTGGTGGTTTAAGAGGGGCTCAGCCTGCCAGACCAAACTGTTTGGCGTCCCCAGCCAAAAAGAAAAAAAATGGTACCCATGCCGGTTCGCTTTTTTGGGGCATGTGGCAGCAATCCCGGTCAAGAAAAAGAGCCTCAGGTGTACTCAAATTTAATGAGAGACGAGGGATACTGTACGTCCATCCAAAACACGACCATTAACACAACGCAAGTCTTGCATCAATGTCCATGTCCCACAACATTCAAGATTACACAGTCGGGAATGCCCAGACGCTTAAACCCGCAGTACATTTCGCAGGCAAGGAAAAAATGCCCGCCAGTTAACACGGAGGCCGGCCCCGGGCAGGCATGCCGGCCAGGTACATCCCAAATGCTCGGCGCACAGGGCCCGCGACCGACATATGGGAAAGGTACTGGTGGTTTAAACCAGCAGTACGTTTCAAACTTCAAAGATATTGTTCCAAAGCAGCGGTCTGCATTTGCAGGGACGCTGCCTGCCAGACGAACCTGTCGAGCTGCACAGGCCAAAACAAAAACACAAAAAAAAAGTGCCCACGCTGGTTCACTTTTTCTTTGGCGCGCGGCAGCAATACCAGACGTGCGTCTGGGAATACATAAGGCCCGTGTAGACTACAACTCAAGACCCTACACCTTAAACCACAACTCTGTTGGGTTAAAAAAAAAAACAATGCCAAAAGACAGAAGGCCACCACTCAATTCTGTGGTCAGACGACATTTACTAGCTTTCATCCCCAGACAAGGGACGGGAGCAGTGTTGGGTGTTGGAGTTGTGTGTGGCAACTTCATAAGGAAGAAAGGAAAGGAGAATAAGATCCTGGAGATGGAAGACGGAGGAGAATCAACTCTGTGATCATTGATTACAATGGAAAGAAACGTCATTCTGTGCGCCTTCCTCTGTTCACTCTCTTCATCATCGATCTGTTAGAAAGGTCTGCATAAAAAGCTGGATTACTAAGGAGGCATCGCTTTTGCCTATGCACGCGTCCATACTCTGCAGTATGTACCCAACCCCTGCGTATACATACCCCTGCAAAAAAAAAGGACTTTATTTTTCAATCCCTCCCCCCCCCCGGCCCCCCTCCCTCAATTTGGTAGAGAATTTGAGTGTGACCCTGAGGCAAAAAAACTTTAGTTTTCAACTTTTCATTCTACGTCCGGGCAGCCAAGGTGGCACAGGCAGCCCGGTTGGCAGCCCAGGCTTCAAAGATTTAGTTGAAAAATAGTCCCTAAGATTTTGTTCCTATATTTAGTTCACAAACTTGAAAGATTCCAGAATCGTGCTATGCTACAGACACGTAGACATAGTACTGAGGGGCTTCATTCTTAGCTCAGTGCGTTTCCGTCTACTTGTATAGAAAACAATAAAACTAATAATGTTCCTTTTTCAAACAAAGGAAAAAAAGAAAAAGAAAAAAAAAGAGATCTGTTCAACGCCTATACTCTTGAGGGGACAGGCCGGCCTCGCGTCATGGTCATGATTGCAAAGCACGAATCTGATTTAAAAAATGGTCAGGTTCACATGTGCTTCGCATGAACATGGCACTGCAATTACGCATATGCTTGGAAGTGGCATTGGGCATCACCACACCACTCTCGAAATCAGCAAAATGAGAATGAACTTCCCGCTAGAACATGGCCAGATGCACCCGCCACATTTTTGTCCTTTTCACATTTCTCGAGTGGTGTGGCGAGGCCCATTGGCTAAGGTGAACGGAGGGGACAGAATAATCAAGATGAGCGATTCTCCAAAACCGCACGAATGCACTGACAGTAGGTGAGCTGCATGGATACAATGATAGGAGGTTCCAGATCGGCAGAAGCGATAAAGACACACGGGTCCCTTTTCCATTTTTTTTCCCTTTTTTTGGTTGGGAGGAGGGGAGGCTGAGGGGGAGGGGGGAAACTAGGAGAGGCAGGCAGAGGAAGGCAGCGGCGGCACATCCTGAAATGTGAGGGACAAAGAATGGGCCCTCAACTGTAGAGTGACAAAGTATGGGCAGGAACTGTGAGGGACCAAGTATGATGGATTTGTCAATGACGCGGTTTGGCACGAAAATTGGGCCCCGCGGAGGAGATTCTTTGCAAAACATCGCTGAGATCTTCCAAAATAGAAATAATCGTATAGAGATTTACTACAGAGCTACAGAAAAAAGGAAAAAAGAAGAAGAAGAAAAACAAACACAGGCATGACCTATCGCTACCTTCTTCCCCCGGATACAACGTACGGTCATTCCAGCTGTATTTGGGGTATCTTTCAGTCTAAATACAGCTACAATGACCATACATTTTATTCGGGGGAAGAAGGTAGACGTACCGGGGACTTGTAGCTCACACCCTTGGCCTGCGCCATTTCCTTTCCAGCAAGTGTTTTTTTTTTTTTTTTTTTTTTTTAACAAAGGCCCCATGTGCAACAGTTTCCCTCCCAAATCAGTTTCTGTTCTTAAAAAACTTTTTTTGCTTTGCTTTCCTGAACCGGTTTTGTTAGACAAGCTACCTTTAATTTAGGCCAAATGTAACTCATGGAGTTTCATATAGTGCATCTTTTCGGTGTTTTCACGTGATTGTTTTATTTCCGTCTGTATGACTAAAAAAGAGCACCTGTCGTATTCCACCACCTCGCAAGAGGGCACCCAAAACAAAAAGGGCACCCCCAAATTCTTAGCTGTAATGAATGTACATGACTGCGACCATGGACTGATACGCTCCAAAACGTTACGGTGAAGTGCGCATTTACAAGGGGATTCTGTGCAAGAGATTGTGCGGGGGAAAAGCAAAGGGGTCATCGCAATTCTCTGCCTTCTTCTGACTTCATGAAGGCACAGAATACCAGAATTGAGCTAAAAGCATTTTAAAAAAGAGGCCAATGATGCAGCGTGCTTGTCATTCATCGTCATTCATCAGCCGAGATAGTTGGCTTGGCCCCCCAAGTCAGTCTCCGTAGGGTCCTGGGTGCTCTTAGAGGCCCTTGGCCCTGCCATCCCTCACTCGGGGGTTAGTACTTAGGCTTAAGCCATCAGTACATGGCCCCAGCCAAGTTGAGAATCCGATTGAGTCTCTCCTAAAATTTCGGAGGCCCGGGACAGAGCATCCGGAGGGCCAGTAGGAAAAATAAACTGTCCCATGCTGTTGGGTGGTACCAGGCCCATCCCTGAAAAAAAAAATATTCGCCAGCCCCGAGGCAGGCCCTGTCCCAAGTCCCCTAACTCATCGGAAAGGCTCATTCAAATTCTCCAGATGTACTGGTGGGACCACCAGTACCCCGCCCAGTTAATTTTTCCAAGTCGCGGCGCATACACCGGTCCAGCTTTCGGTACCGGACCGAAATGGCTGGCGACACCAGCCAAAAGCAGGTCCGTGTCAGTTCCTTATTTTTTGGCATGCAGGGCGAATTTAGGCTCGGCATCAATAGCTGGGTGGGGTACTGGTGGTTTAAGCTATCCCCGCTAGGCTCAGGCCGTTTCTTCCAGCAGGTAGATCTCAGTTGCTCCGGTATAGATAGGTAGGTTGTGGGAGGTATATTGAGTGAAGAATATAGCTCAGTTTTAAAAAAAGAAAACGAAGGCCAATGACAAAAGCTTACCAAGAAGTCGGGATAGGCAGCCACCTAGCCGCTATCTCTTTCTTTTTCTAACTCGAGGCCTATTCCTCGTGTTGCCCTTACCCACCCACCTTTCGTCCATTCTCCCCAGCACACTACTCCCCTAGCCCACCTCAGTGTCTAGTACTGTCTACCACTCAGGGTGAGCATCCTCACTATTTTCATGGCTGGACTGACCTCGCAGCCATCCTCGAATCCTTCCCAAGTTGTTGCTTTCCTCTACTTTAATTTTCTAGCCCCTAACCAACTTGTACCCATTCCATATGGTTCAATTAGGATTCCAACCATACTTGCAGCGCACGTCGTGCACGGCACCTGCGCACGTGCGGCGCAGAGCGCAACGCGCAGGCGGCGCCCGCACGACGTACGCCGCATGCCCGAAAATAGGGGTCCAAAAAAAAAACAACTGGGGGGCGGCTTGCAGGTGGTCGGGGGGGTCTCCAAAAAAACGACACTGGGGCCGCACAATTTTTTTGGGGGGCCACGCCGAGGCCCGGGAATTTTTTTTTTGCCCAACGTTCGAATTCGAACGCTGGGGGATGTAGTGTCCCTCCCAGGCCCCTTCCGAACCACCACACAACAGTTCAGTGTCCACCCGGTATTTCTCGCGCCGCCGTCGATCTCCTACACACGCAGGTGGCATGATCCTCCATCGCCGGGAACAGCCACACAGCGGGCAGCGGGCAGCAGCGGCACGCGGCAGCAGGCAGCGGGAGCACGGGCGGTCAGCAGCAACCTTCGCCAAGGTTGGTGCTCTCTCTCTCTCTCTCTCTCTCTCTCTCTCCAGACATGCACACACACACGCACACACACACACACGTGAAGTAGTGTATATGTCCATGTTCTAGCGGAAGATTCATCGATTTTGCTCATCCTATCGATGGAAGTAGCGTGAGGCCAGCCGCCGGGTTGGAGGCTTACCTGTTCGCCCGTGCATTGCTCATCCTATCGATGGAAAACTCTCTCTCTCAGGCCAGCCGCCGGGTTGG